AACTCCGAATCAACTGTCACCGAACCAAAGCTCTCGACCCAACCGATCACTGAGAAAGGTCGCCGACCCTGGCACGACGCCGCATCCTGGGGCGAGCAGCACGCACCTTCTGAAGAGTGAAGAACCCCCTGCCTCGGCAAATCTGGCGCCTGATCTCAGGCCCTGCACCGCCGAAAGCGCAAAGCGCAAGGGGGGCGCCCGCGCCCCGATTTGACCGAGGGGCCGAGGCGCCATACATTGCAACACATCCAAACATAGAACGCCGCTAGAAGCCCCAACCTCAATCCCAGGAGGGGCGAAGAGGACGAGGCCAACCTCTTCTTGAAGCGCCCTGGAGGTGGAACCAGAGGCGCTCGTCGTAGAGCGCCACGAGGGATGACCTCGGCGACCGCCGGTTGGGAGCGGTCCATCCCTGCAGAACCATAGCAATGCACTGCAACACGTGCCGTTCCAATGTTACACGAGTCCCCGACGATTGTGGCCCCGTTTACGTTGCGACCCCCTCTGCGGCAATGGAGCAATGGACTTCCCCTCCCGAGATGCAGAGCCGGCAGAACATCCCCAGCAGCGGCGCTCGAGCGCAGGCACGCGCGGCCCGCGGCTGCGGCCGCAAGCATTCGACGCCCCCACTGCCGCGCGTGATTGCAGAGGGGCGCCTGACACAACGCGCCCTCGCAGTGCCGCGTGCGAAGCCACGTCTAGAGCGGCACGCAGCGCATCCTGGGCGGCACGGCCCGCGGGCAGCCGCCCGGAGAGGAGCGCCCGCCGCCAGAGGGCTCTTCCGGCGAGTCCTGTTCTGCAACACGGACCATTCAGTAGATCGGAGGATCAGGCGACAATCGCGCAGCTGCTTGCCCGCCCCGTCGGTGAGCCGGAGGCTTCCCTGAGGCCCCGCCCACTCCCAGCCGCCGTCCTGCCCGGCGCCAACGGTGGCCAGATCAGCTCTGCAAGCGTGGATCGGCCCCTTCGCTTGTGCACCCGTGACAGCGCGCCCCCAAAAGGCGAGGGCATCTTGGCCCTGCCGACGCAGCCGGCATCGGAGCAGCTGCAGGGATCGCCAGCACAGGTGGCACCGCACGTCTGCCTGACGCCCCACGAAAGGCGTGCGGAGTAGTCCTGGGTCCTCGGGGAGACCGCCCGTCGCGCCAACTGCCGGTGGCTGTTGCTCCGTAGGTGGCGTGAGAACCAGCGCCCGTGTCGACGCAGGCATTGCCATCGCAGCAACCGCAAGCCGCCGCAGTCGCAGCGGCAGAGGCATGGAGGCGACACGCTGGAGTCGCGCGCACCCCTCCTCGAACTTGCGGCGCCAACCCGGCCCCGTGGAGATTAAGATCCAGTCCGAAAATCCTCGTGCTCATCCCAACCAGCTGAGCAGCAGCACATCTGTCTGGGCAGATAAGAAACCTTTGCGTCTTGGCGCGGTTGGTTCGCAAAGCCGCCAGACACCCCCGACGCGTTTCGGGGGGGCCCAGGACCCCCCCCAGATCTAGCCGCCACCGCCCCAGGGGGCCCCCCCCTCGGAACCCTCCCAGGACCCCCCTGGGACCGCTCCAGGCACCCCCCCAGATGGCACGTCAGCTCCAAAAGCCGCCCCCGACGACTCCAAGAGCGCCCCCCCTCCCAAACAGGGCACGCCAGCTCCGAAAAGCGCCCCCGAAAACCATGGAAGCGCGGGGGCGAGCGGGGGGGGGGGCAACGATAACCGGGGAGAAGAAAGAGGGCCGGATGAACCGAGGAGGGAGGAGGCCACGGAGCCGCGAAGATCACCGAATCCGGAGACCCCCGGATCGGCGGCACTGGCTGGAGGCCAATATCAAGCTTTGCTTCTTGGCGCGGTTGGTCCGCGAAGCCGTCAGACTTTCCTAGGCGGTCCCATTCCTTCTGCGCGCGACGCATATCTTCTGTTGCACCGGTCATAGCTGTCTGGTCGCCCGCGCAAGAGCAACGCGTAGCGGTCGGAGCTACGCTTCAAATTCTGCGCAGGGGTCTCACAAGAATCGTAGACATCGCCAGCATAGCGACGGGGTCACCTCGAGGCAGGCTGTTAGAGACGAGTAGAGATTGGTCGGAGATGAAGGGGCCAAGCTCAATCCGGCGTTCCCGGTGCCCCCACATGAACGCGATGCCGTTGGTGGCGTTACGCGGGGCGCCCGAGCGCCGCCGCGCCGCGCCGACCAAGCGCGGGGGGACCCAGACAACGGCCGACTCATAGTCCCAAGATGCGACGAGCAGCTCGCCCCAGCGCAGCTGAAGGAGAGCTCACTGTCCTGGCGTAGCTTCAAACGTCTCGTCTAGCTTGTCTGCAGCGATCGTCTCCTCGCGCGGGAAAAGGCATGGCTCGATGAGTTGCTCTAGAGCGCGGCCCTTCACCCCCCCGCCCTGCGCGTCATGGAAGGCAAGTTGAAGATACTCAGTGAGCTGAGCCGCTCTCTAGCGATGCCAGACCCTGACAATCGCACTCGCGATCGACATAGGACGTAGTCGCGTCAGCACCGGCGCGGTTGCAGATTCATCCTTGGGACGGTGCACTTACCCCCACTGCAGGAGTTGACGCGGCCAGCCGCGTTGATCAGCCGCGGCGCAGATGCGAATCAGCACTACGAGGGCGTCATCCAGTAGAAGCATCAGCTCTTCTGGGCACCACTGGTCGGGAGCACGGGCATTTCCTCCACGAAAAATCGGTCGGACCTCCGCTGCCTCTTGAAGCGCCCTGACGAACGCCTCTCGGAGGGCAGCGTCGCCCCTGACAGCGGCGCCCCAACTGGGCGCCGCGGCATGGCCCCAGTCGACCGCGCATGGCCCCCTCAACAGTGACCATATTCTGCAAAACATGGCGCAGAGGCCAACGACGCGGTCGCCCTCGCTCTTTTTCAGCAGCAGCCGCGCAGGCACCGGCAGCACCTGATGCGGCCGCGCAGCGCCTTCCTCAACAGCCCCGCACAGCGCTGCGAGCTCGTCTGGCGCGGCCAAGGGCAACCGCTCGAAGTCCGCGGGGTCGAGGCGGCCAACCCCCACGCACGCGGTCGCCTTCGTGGCGCGAGCCACCTTCCAGATACAAGGCCCCGCCATTGGCGGCGCGGATGCGAGTTTCGCGCGCCCCTTGACTCCCCGAAAACACGCCTGCAACTCCTCTGCGTCGGCATCAGACGCACGCCACGGGGGGGGGGGGGGGGGCGAGCACTTCGCAATCGTCGGCGACTTCAAGCCTGGTCATGGGCCCGCCTTCGATGCGTTTTTGTTCCCGCCTCGGCCGCATCGACGCAAGGGTCTCCTTCCACGACGAAAACTCTCGCGGCGAGGCGGCGACCGCCCGCCTTTGACACGGCCTTGAAACGCGCTCAGCTCGCTGAGTGAACGAGTAGAGCTCAGACTCCTCGAAGAAAGGCGGGCGCCGCTCCCGCGATGGACCGCCGCCTGCGCGCGCTCTCAGATCTGCGCGCGCCTGCTGCGGATTCTCCTCTGCGAAGCTGCCGATGGCCTCGATCAAATACACGCGATGGCGCCGCCCGTTCAGGCGACCCACGCGCCTCGCCAAGTCGCGCAACCAGGCGCGCACGCGCAACCGCCAACATGAGTTCGCATCGCGCGACGGCGACGCCCGTCGCTTGGCGAACTGACTTTTCCGCGATACTAGCCCCGCAAGTGCGGTCGCGGCCAGACAGCGCCCGCCCCCGCTGGCGCGCCGCAGCGCGGCCTCAGCCACGCGCGCCCACGCGGCACGCAGAACTCAGCGAGGCAAGAACCAAAACGTCGGCAGGCCAAAAGTCAACGGAGGAGGCGAGGGGGGCCGCGGGGGCGCTGCTCGGCAGGGGCGAAGCCGATCTCGCTCCGACGCCTCTTCCAAAGCTAATCAAGAACAGAGAACTCAACGGGATCCGCCGCGCCATCATCCCCCCGCGCTTCTGCTCAGCTCAGGAGGGGGGGCGGGCTGACAGCCGATCACAAGCCGGAAGGCCAAGCCCGCGCCCGAACCCAGGAACGCCCTCCGAGGGGGCGCAAGGCTCCTCGGCAGGGCGACCTCGGACGAATTCCCGGGCGAATTCACGGACAACGCCGAAAGCTCCACCTCATGAAACAACAGACTTAGTTTCGCGCGCGGGCGGAAGGGCCGACTTCTGGGCCCGAACCCTCCTCGCCCTCAAAGGCGCCATCGAACTGGGCCTGCTGGAACGACTCCCCAGAGACCAACGGGTCTTCCAAATGGTCCTGGCCGCGCCCCGTGGCGCTGGCTTCGCTGACCGCGTCGGCCTCGATGCCACCCCCCCGGCGCCCCATCTCCGCGCGGGCGACCTAATTGCATTTCCCAAATTCGCCGGCCCAACGGGCCGAGGGCGCGCGAAGATCTTCGGCAACTGGTTAACAATATTCTAGTTCGAGCGCACGGGGCCGCCCCCGGGGGTCCCCGGACGAAAAGCACCCCGGGAGACCCCCGGGACACCCCTGGGGCACTCGGATCAGAGATGCCAGACCGGGCAATTTTTCGACACCCCTCACGAGGATCGCGGCCCCCGAATGGAGGGGCGCAATCGACCGACCCCCCTCCTGACCCAAGAGGCCCCCAAGAGCCCCCCAAGAGGCTGCAGGGGCCCGCAAGGCGCCGCCAAGGAACCCCAGGATGCCCCCAAGAGGCCCCTAAGAGGCCTCCAAGAGGCCCAAAAAATACCCCCAAGAGGCCCCAAATATCGCTGCAGGGCCAGTCCAGCTCATTCTTGGCGATGACAAATACACTCCTGCGTCAATGTTTAGCTCGCTCTTGGTTGAACGCATTTCATCCCTGGGCAACGCTTCCATCAACTTCGCGGGTGGCGAGCGGCCGCTGTCCGAAACGCAAGATCCGCCATGGCACCGCGCGCCTTCGATTCGGCTCAGACAAGTTGCGACAGGGAGTACGTGAATGGGCCTATGAAGAGGGTGCAGGACTGCCAACGACCTCTCAGCCAGTCGACCGCGGTGCGCAATATGGGCCGGCGGAATGAGCGAAGCGATTGAATAATTCTGACCTTAGACATACCCTTCCATTTTTTTCCGGCGGAAGATACTAGACTTCGAGCAGGGAGTCGACTGCGCCATGGGCCGCACGGACTGCGGAAGAGCCATCGGCAACTCAAGATGCCGCGCGATCAACTGCTGCCCTGACGACCTGAGCTCTTCCTGAAGACCGACAAGGATTCCATGTTACCCTGGCGACGCCCTTGCAGCTGCCGATGAAGGAACGCGCCGGGCTGCTGCAGATGGCGCAATCGATGACCGAGCCTCCGGACCCTGCCTCGCACGCAGCAGCAACATTATCACCAGCGACGGCAATAAGACCACACTTCAACTTGGACGGACATGTGGACTGCTGCATTGCGGCATCCTTGGCGGTAAAGTCGCAAATCATGATTCGAGGCAAGTGCATGAAACTGACGATGGCACCAAGCTCTTGAAATCGCGCGGCCTTCCCTCCTGGCAGACCTTAGAAGAGCACAATCACGATGCTGCAGCCCTGCTGGTGGGCGCGAGATACTTGAAACCCATCGCACTGCGCATGACCTGCAGCCCGAAGCTCGGCACGAGCGCGCATGTTTGTGCACATCGGCTCGATAGTAAAATCATTCTTGGCCAAGAACCACTCCCTACCCTCGTTGCTCCTCGAAACCATGGCGTCAAAAAGATTGTTTGTTCTGGCGACACTGCGATATCCCTGAGCACTGGCCTTCTTATCCCGAAACGTGAGCAACGAATTCATGACGCATGTCACCACTAAGCTGACGTAGTCGTACATGCCTATCATCAGGAACTTCCACGCCTTGCCCCCAAGCGTTTTCATACTTGCGTAAACGAACGCGCTAATAGTACCTTTGATCGAATGGGACGAATTGGCCGCCTCGCTAGGAGACGAGGCCGCGAGCGAACTGTCCGCCACCATGCTGATCACAGCGGGCGGAGGCTCGCAAAGCACGCCATCAGCTCGTCAATTCTGCGAAAAGCCTCCAGTTGCAGCCACACCTTTGCCGCTCCTACCGAGGTCGTTACCACGCCTGCCTTTGCCCATGGCCTTGCCCGTGTTCGCCTGGATCGCCGCCGCCTCCTGCCTCTGGACCTCGAGCTTCGCCAGCGAGTCCGCCGCCGCCAAGACGTCGGCGTCGTGCCTCTCGCCTGGCGGCGCCACGGCTGGCTCCTGCACCGGCGCTGCAGGCCTGCCGCCGAGGCCGCGGAGCCGCTGCCCACCTCGGCAGGCGCACCGCCTGGCGGGGCGGCTGGGCCATCGGCCCCCCCAACACGCTCGCCAGCTTCGCCGCCGCCACCAGCAACAGGTTGCGCCTGTGCATCACTCGGAATTCGTCGTTCCTTGACGAGCTTCTCGCCCGCCGCCTTCCTGACGTCCTCGGCCTTGGCCAGCATGGCCGTCACCTCAACCTCCTTGGCGGCGAGCACCCCCTGCAGGCCCTCCAAGTCCGCCTTGACCTGCTGCAGGTCCATGCGTTCGTGTTCCTCGAACTCGTGGTTGTCGAGCTCCTCGGACAGCTCCTTGTGCCAGGTGAGCCGGAACTTGGGGCCGTTGGACCGGTCGCCCCTTATCGTAGGCGGCGTCCGTGAAACTGCAAGGCCAATGCCATCCGCCAGCGCGAGCGCCTGCGTGGCGAGACGCTTGGCCTTGTCAGCCTCAGCCAAAGCCACCGCGGTGGAGCGATCACGCTCGCGCGCCAGCACCAGACTTTCCTCGAGCTTGACCAGTGCCTGCACCGCCTGCGTGTGCTTGGGGTCGGCGTCCTCCCACACGCCCACGGCTCTCTTGACCACGTCAGCGGGCTTCTCTTCAGGAGTCGGGGGAGCCAACTTCTTCACGCTCTTTGAGGACCGCCTTGAGGATCTCGTCCTGAGTCTCCTGCATCGCCATCGGGCACATCCTTGGACTGCTGGACACCACCTTTGCCCGTGCTGCCCTGTCCCTGCACGGTGTCAGCATCCCCGAGGGCGAGCAGGGAGGAGGGAGGAATGAGGATGGGCAGGGAGGAGGGAGGGGATCCCTTGCGACAAAAATCGCAACGTCGCGTAAAATCAGGACCGGAGCCCCAGACCCCAGCTCTCTGCGGAACTCTTCGAGCCGCATCGACGTGTGACGGCCCCAGCCGGGCGAAAGAAGAAACGGCGCGAAACACATCGCAACGCCTGAAGTCCGCGAGGGAGAGAGAGAGAGAGAGAGAGATCCCTGCCATCTGGCGACTCAATTTTGTTCGAGGCACGGGCCCCGACTCGCGACCACCTCCCGGGAACGGGCTCACCCTGAGTCACTTGTTGACGGCCCCGAGGCTCAGTGAGGGCCCCGCGAGGCCGAAAGCGGGGAGAAACCGCCGGCCTCAACTGTGTTCGGAGCCTCAGAACTCTTGGGGGAAAGCGCGGCGCCCGTTCCTCCAGCACGGTCAGCAGCGCAGCGCCCGCCGCGCCCACTGCGGCGGCGGCCTCCGCCGCGGCGCGCCCCTCGCACGACGGCTCGGGCAGCGCGTCCGCCAGCGCGATTCCGGCGGCCACAGCGTCTTCCGAGAGGCAGGCCTCATCTGATCGGATCGGGAACGAATCGGATCGCCAGCGAAACGCCCTGAGTCGCCTCGAAATCGGGTCGCCGCGGCCGGCTCCGGTCGGCCCCGGCGGGCGAATCGAAGCGCACCGAACCGGATCGCAGGCGGCCCTGAGAGGCCCGCCGCCGAGGCGCCCGCCGCCGCGGCGCCGCCGCCGCAGGCGGCGCGCAGGCGCAGCAGCGCGGCCTGCTGCGCCGCCAGCGCGCCAGAGGCGCGGGCGCGGGCCCACTCCTCCAGGGGGGGAGAAAAAATCAATCAAGCATGACAACAAGCGATACGGCGGTTTTCCTAATGTTTCTGGCCTCGCGGGGCCCTCACTGGGGGATGAGAAACGGGTAAGTGGTGGAGAGGTCGGGGGCCCGTGCCATGAAAAAATCATGATGTCGGAGGTCTGAGAAGGGGAGAGGGTGCCGGTGCTGCTGCTCGACCTGAACGGCCCTCGTCGCCGCAGCTGGGCTCTGCCCGAAAATCTGGCCAGGAATGCACCCCTGGAGAGGTCTGGAGAGTAGCAGTATCGGCGCAGGGAAGCTGGAAAGTGGAAGTCCCACCAGCCCTCTGGGCGTAAGTGGCTTAACGAACTTGTGTCATTCTCTCTGCTACAATCCCTCCTTCCCCTTCTCGGGGGAGGGGCTTAATCACTGTTCCTTATTGATATACACCCCTTCTCCCACCCGGCTGGCGTCCAACCAGGAACCATGCCGTCTCCATTTGGGCCCGCCCCCCACCATCCCTGTCAAAAAACATGATCGACCCACGAACCCGGAAAGGAATATAGAAATGTAAGGCATGGCAACGTTTCAAAGACACCTGATTGAGTGACGGGCAAATGCAATGCTGAATGTATAGATCTCGATGTACTGTGCCGAGGGCTGTGCTGTGCTACCCCGTGCTGAACTGCGATGTGCCATGCCGCGAGTGTGCTCTATATAGCGTTGTGGATCAAGTCCTCCCTGGCATCCGAGTCCTGACCGAACTGATCTGGATCTTAAGCTCGAGCTGCCTGAGCAGATGTTAGCTGCCCCAGAACTAATCAACAGAGGGGACATGCCAGGAGGACGCGCCGCGGAACGTCCCAACGGACGCGCCAGGCGACGTGCCAGGGGGCGTGCCATGGGCACGCACCGCGGGACGTGCCAAGGGGACGCGCTACAGAACGTGCCACTGGACGTGCCGCGGGACGTGCCAGGGGACGCGCCGCGCGAAGTGCCAGGTGGACTCGCCACGGAACGCACCAAGGAACGCGCCAAGGTGCAATGTTGAGTGTATCGATCTTGATGTACAATGCCGACGGCTGTGCTGTGCTGGGCCGTGCTGAACTGCGATGTGCCATGCCGCGATCTTGCTCTACATATACAGCGTTGTGGATCGAGTCCTCTCTGCATCCGAGTCCTGACCGAACTGATCTGGATCTTAAGCTCGAGCTGCCTGAGCAGATGTTAGCTGCCCCAGAACTAATCGACAGGGGGACATGCCAGGAGGACGCGCCGCGGAACGTCCCAAGGGACGCGCCAGGCGACGTGCCAGGGGACGTGCCATGGGCACGCACCGCGGGACGTGCCAAGGGGACGCGCTACGGAACGTGCCAATGGACGTGCACCGCGCGATGTGCCAGAGGGACTCGCCACGGGACGCTCCGCGGAACGTGCCAAACAACATGCCAGGCTGCAATGCTCAGGGTATCGATATTAATGTACCGTGCCGAGGGCTGTGCTGTGCCTGGGCGACCTGGACATGTGAAAACACGCGTTTCGCTCAAGACGTTCTCAGCACATCCTCATGCTAGACATCCGCCTGGGCAACCTGGACACGTGCAAACAAGCGTCTCGATCGAGACTTCCTCGATACATCCTCATGCTAGACATCCGCCTGGGCGACCTGGACACGTGAAAACAAGCCTCTGGTTCGAGACATCCTCAACAAATCCTCATGCTAGACATCTGTCTGGGCAACCTGGAGGCGTGAAACCAAGCGTCTCGCTCGAGACATCCTCAAGACCTGGGCACGTGAAAACAAGCATTTCACTTGAGAGATCCTCTGAATTCAAGTCCCCAGGAGAGGACAATCTATAACACAAAACAAGCGTTTCGCTCGAGACATCCTCAACAAATCCTGAACAAACAAGCGTTTCGCTAGGGACATCCTCAAATTTTAATTCGCCAGCCCTACGCGACCTCGATATTTATCGCAAAAAAAATCGCCGGCCCTACAGCCGTCAGATCCGGGGGCAAACCCCCAAAAAAAACTCTGGGCCTGTGCCGTTTCCGGGAACAAAACAAACCACACTCTGCCTCCAAATTTGAGCGTGCGCGGCCAACCCGATGCGGCCCCCCCCCACCATCCCTGTCAAACATGATCGACCCACGAACCCGGAAAGGAATATAGAAATATAACGCATGGCAGCGATTTCAAAGACACCTGATTGGGTGACGGGCAAATGCAATGCTGATTGTATCGATCTTGATGTACCGTGCCGAGGGCTGTGCTGTGCTACACCGTGCTGAATTGCGCGCCACGCGACGTGCCAGGGGGACTCGCCAAGGGACGCCCCACGGAACGTGCCAAGGAACGTGCCAAGTTGCAATGCTGATTGTATCGATCTTGATGTATCGTGCCGAAGTCTGTGCTGTGCTGCACCGTGCTGAATTGCGATGTGCCATGCCGCGGTTGTGCACTATATAGCGTCGTGGATCGAGTCCTCCTTTGCATCCGAGTCCTGACCGAACTGATCTGGATCTTACAGTAAGCTCGAGCTGCCTGAACACATAGTATCTGCCGCAGAGCTAATTGACAAGGGGACATGCCAGGAGGACGCACCGCGGAACGTCTCAAGGGACGCGCCAGGCGACATGTCAGGGGACGTGCCATGGGGACGCACAGCGGGACGTGCCAAGGGGACGCGCTACGGAACGTGCTGGGGACAAGCGTTTCGCTCGAGACATCCTGTCAAAATCCTCATTCTAGACATCCGCCTAAGCGACCTGGACACGTGAAAACAAACGTTTCGCTCAACACATCCTCAACACATTCTCATGCTAGACATCCGCCTGGGCGAACTGGGCACGTGAAAACAAGTAGTTCGCTCGAGACATCCTCAACACATCTTCATGTGAGACGACCGCCTGGGTGACCTGGGCACGTGAAAATAAGCGTTTCGCTCGAGACGTTTTCAACACCTCCTCATTCTAGACATCCGCCTTGGCGACCTGTACACGTGAAAGCAAACGTCTCGCTCGAGACATCCTCAACACATCTTCATGTTAGACATCCGCCTGGGCGACCTGGACACGTGAAACAAGCGTATCTCTCGAGACATTCTCAACACATCCTCATGCTAGGCATCCGCCTGGGCAACCTGGACACGTGCAAACAAGCATCTCGATCGAGACTTCCTCAACACCTCCTCATTCTAGACATCCGCCTGGGCGACGAGGACGCGTGAAACCAAGCGTCTCGCTCGAGACATCCTCAACAAATCCTGGCGCTTGACCTCTGCCTGGGCAACCTGGAGGCGTGAAACCAAGCGTCTCGCTCGAGACATCCTCAAGACCTGGGCACGTGAAACCAAGCATTTCACTCCAGGAGAAGACAATCTATAACACAAAACAAGCGTTTCGCTCGAGACATCCTCAACAAATTCTGAAAAACAAGCGTTTCGCTAGGGACATCCTCAAATATTAATTCGCCGGCCCTACGCGACCTCGTTATTTATCGCAGAATAATTTCGCCGGTCCTACAGCCGTCGAAACCGGGGGGAACCAACTAAAAGAGAACCCTGGGCTCGAGCCATTTCCGGGAAAAACAATGCAAAGTACACTTTGGGGCAAAGTCTTGAGTCATGCTCTTGAGGCCCGCGAACACTTTGTATGGTTTTTGACAAGGACGGAGGGAGTGCCAGCATATTCCCTGCCGTGCGCAGCGCTACCATCCCTGACAAACATGATCGACCCACGAATCCGGAAAGGAAGATAGAAATGTAAGGCATGGCAACGTTTCAAAGACACCACATTGGGCGACGGGCCAGGTTGCAATGCTGAATGTATCGATCTTGATGTACAATGCCGACGGCTGTGCTGTGCTGGGCCGTGCTGAACTGCGATGTGCCATGCCGCGGTTGTGCTCTATAGCGTCGTGGATCGAGTCCTCCTTTGCGTCCGAGTCCTGACCGAACTGATCTGTATCTTAAGCTCGAGCTGCCTGAGCAGATGGTAGCGGCCCAGAACTTATCGACAGGGGGACATGCCAGGAGGACGCGCCGCGGGACGTCCCAAGGGACGCGCCAGGCGACATGACAGGGCACGCGCCATGGGGACGCACCGCGGGACGTGCCAAGGGGACGCGCTACGGAACGTGCCGATGGACGTGCCACGGGACGTGCCAGGGGACGCGCCGCGCAACGTGCCAGAGGGACTCGCCACGGGACGCGCTGTAGAACGTGCCAGCGAACGTGCCAGGTTGCAATGCTGAATGTATCGATCTTGATGTACCGTGCCGAGGGCTGTGCTGTGCTGCGCCGTGCTGAATTGCGATGTGCCATGCCGCGGTTGTGCTCTGTTGTGTTGTGGATCGAGTCCTCCTTTACATCTGAGTCCTGACCGAACTGATCTGGATCTTCAGCTCGAGCTGCCTCAGCACATAGTAGCTGCCCCAGAGCTAATTGACAGGGCGACGTGCCAAGGGACGTGCCATGGGGACGCACCGCGGGACGTGCCAAGGGGACACGCTACGGAACGTGCCGATAGACGTGCCACGGGACGTGCCAAGGGACCCATGTGTTTTCAAGCTTGCCCCGCCCTGGGG